CTCACTGGTTTTTATGGCTCACTGGCCTCCTATAACCAGAAAGGGCATCCTCTGGCCACTGGCTGATAGTGAAGTCTGCTCTTTTGCCAGAGCTGAAGTAAACAATGATAAAATTTGCATGACGTAAACCATAGCCTTCAAAGCCATGCCTCTGACCACTCACTTCTTTCAGACAGCCCCCACCTCCTGGTTCTATCACTTCTCAATAACGCCATGACACGATCAATCTATCAATGGGTAAATCCATTGATTGTCAGAGCCTTCAAGATCCAATCCCCTGGGCTGGAGAGATGGCTCAGAGGTTAAGAGCACTGGCTGCTCTTCCAGAGGTCCTGAGTTCGATTCCCAGCAACCACATGGTGGCTCACAGCCATCTATAGTGGGGTCTGATGCCCTCTTCTGGAGTGCAGGTGTACATGCAGATAGAGCATTCATACACATAAAATAAATAAATAGATCTTTAAAAAATCCAATCACCTATCAATAATAGCGTCACCAGCTACGGGCCAACCCTCTAACACATGAGTAGCTGGAGGTAGGTTTCAGAGAGAGTCTATGCATAAGAAGGGGCAGGGGTGTGCTTTTAAAAAGGTGGACATTTTCAGGGTGATTGAAGGACACAAGGTGGTAATAAAAAGCACCTGTTGGGGCTGGAGAAGGCTCAGAGCCCACACCGCCCTTCTAGAGGACCCAAGTTTGAGTCCCGGCATCCGTATCAGCTGATTCCCAAACATCTGTAACTCCAGCTGCAGGGATATCCAACCTCTGGCCTCTCTGGGCGCCTACACTCATGTGCACACACCAGACACACAGACATAATTAAAAGTCATTATAAAATTTTTTTTTTAAAAGTAACTGCCGCACTCGAGTCCAGAACAAGAGTGTAAAAAGTTGAGTTTTCACACTTTGGCTTATGCCCACCCATACTGAAAGGACCATGAAGAGTAGCTTTTCCGTGTGGCCCAGGGAAGCAGCTGCTGTGTAGGGCCAGTGTGACTCAGCCCAGCAGAGTGAAGGCAACTCTGCTTTGTGTTTCCTGGTTTGGGAGGGACGCTGTTTGGGTTGATGAAAACTGTCCCGCTTGTCTCTGTCCTTCAGGAAGTGTGCCGGCAAGGCACCAAGCAGTGTGTTCCCAGCTTCCCCGTTCTGGGCCTGGGAGGGGAATGCTGCCCCCTGAAGAATGCTTGGGGCCCGCTGGAGCCAGGTCAGGTGGAAGCCCAAGTGCCAAGCAGTCATTTCAAGAGATTGATGGAGGGGGCGTGTGTCCTGGGGGAGGCTAAGGCCTGGTATAGTTCCATTGCTCTTATTTACAGCCCACCCCTGGGCATCCATCACCCACTGACAGCTCACCATAAACTGATGACTGTGGCCTTCCTGCCCAGCCCTTAGCTGGAGCCATGCTAGCCTCAGAGTCACAGACAAGTGGAGGCATGGAGAAGGAGGTGACAGAGCGTGTCCTGACCCCTATGAGCTCATTAGCTAGAGAGAAGGTGTATGTACACATGCTTGCACCCCTAAATGTTTTTATAGCCAACATTTGTGAGATAAACATAGCACAGATAACTTGATTCTTCGTTTAGTACAGGAGAAAGAAGCACACTTAATCTGAGCAGTAAGTAACCCAAGCAGTTGTTTGAAGCTGCTTTGGGGAGAAGGCATCAGAGAGTCTTTGCTGTCTTGGTTAGTTGGTTAGTTGGCTGGCTTTTACTGTGTGTGTGTAAGAGTATGTATGTATTTGGCTGGGCAGCAGCGCACATCTTTAATCCCAGTACTCAGGAGGCAGAGGCAGGTAGATCTATGTGAGTTCGAGGCTAGCCTGGTCTACAGAGCAAGTTCCAGGACAGCCAGGGCTACACAGTGAAATCCTGTCTTAAAACAACAACAAAAAAGAGTATATATATATATATGTCTATGTGTGTATGTCTTTGTGTTTGTATGTATGTATAAGAGAATGTGTGTGTATGTGAGTCTGTGAATTTATGTGTGTTTGTGTATATATGTGTATGTGAATACGTGTGTTTGTATTGTGTGCATGTATATGTGTATCTGTGTGTGAGTGTGTCTATGCATCTGTGCATGTGTGTGTGAGTGTGTGTGTGTGTGTGTGTCTGTGCATGCATGAGAGAGAGTACATATTTGTGTGTTTCTACAGACAGCAGGTATACTAGTGCATTGGTTCTCAATGTGTGGGTCACGACCTCTTTGGGGTTGTCACATATCAGATACCCCGCATATCAAATATTTACATTACAATTCACAACAGTAGCAAAATTACAGTTGTGAAGTAGCAACAAAATAATTTTATGGTTGCGGGGGCGGGGGGGGGGGGGGAGGTCACCACAACATGAGGAACTGTATTAAAGGGTCACAGCAGCATTAGGAAGGTTGAGAACCGCTGTACTAGTGGAATCCAGTCCAATATGGCTGCACGTATATTTCCTGTGTTTAGTCAGCACAGCGGATGGGCAATACTCCAGGGGCTAAGAGATAGGGAATGCCCACATGGTCACTCAGTCCCAAGCGTATCCCAGCGGGACCCCTGGCTAGGAGCAGCTGCCCCCACTGTGGCTGGAGTGTGTGAGGACCAGGATTTGGAGTCAGAAGTCTAGGTGAGGGTCCCCAGTGAGACCCTTCCTTTATTGATGGCAGGTCTTTGTCCTATCTTGTCAGTGGAAAGGGTGCCAATCAAATGACCCGACACAGAGCTGAAGGGCTGAAAACCCCAGGTGCTCCTGGGAGGCGGCCGCAAATCTCCGCTTCGGGGCCCCTGAGGTACAGTGTAGGCCTGGGACTTGGACAGATGGTTTCCATGGAGGACAAACAAACCTCTACGTGCCCCAGAAGACACAGCCGTGATACGTCAACACCTTAATGGTCTAGAGAACACATCCTCACCAATGCTGCGTTTGCCCTAACGCATCCATCTTGTGTGGTCAAGAGATACAGCTCACGGTCTGTCCTCAGAGAGCTTACCTTTGACATACCAGATTCTCTCTCCCTTCCTCCTCCCACCGGGTAAACCTCCGTGGAACGCGTCTGGCCAGGGAAGGCAGCTGGTACAATGACCCCCGTCCCTAAGTGACCAAAATGCAGCAGGAGAGACGACAGCCACTGTGACCACTTGGTGAGAAAAATACAAGGACCCCCAGAGAAGTGTTTCTGTTCATTGCCAAGTGACAAACTGCCTTCAAATGTCAGGGTTTAAAATAGCAGTGCTCACTGAGGCTGTCGCGTCACTGCGGGTCAGGGTGCAGAGAAGGCACGGGGCGGGGCGGGGTGGGGGGGACGACACGACAATCTGTCCGTGCCATCGGGTACATCCTCTCCCCGTGGCCAGGACTGCCTCGTGCGTCCCCATGGCGAGAGGCAGAGAGAAGAAGGGTTGTCCTTCTGAACTCAGCTCAGGAGTCACAGGCAGGGCTTCATCACCAGTCCCCCACGGAAGGGACACAGACTCCACCTCTGGATCGGGACCATCCTGCAGGCTGGGTTGAGCGTATGGGAGGGGCCAGTTTGGAAGACCCAGCCCGCTCTGTTAGGAGAATGGGATGGAGGCATCCAGAGAGACGTTCTAGGAGAGGCGACGCTTGGCCTGCATCTTGAGGACTGGAGAAATGAGATGTGAGAAGGGGAAAGGAAAAGATTCCCGGGGGGTGGGGGGGGGTGGGGGGGTGAGGGCGGGGCAGCATCCCCACAGGCCAGGAGGCTGAAGAGGCAGGGAAAGCGAGCCAGCACAGGCAGTTTCCTGAGGTGGGGAGGAACGTGTGTGCAGCGGGGGCCGAGGTGGGGATGCAGCTGCAGGGTCAGGGAGCTTAACCCGGAAATGTTCCTGGGCCCACTGGCTGCCAGCGCCTCTGAGAACTAAAGGAAATGAGCTCTTAGGTGTTTCCACGCCATTTGGGGGACCTGGATTAAAGTCTTCGGTTAAAGTGATCTAAAGGGTCTCTTCCTGCCCGCGCATCTGTGGAAGCAGAACGGACTGAACTACATTCCCCAGGAGGCTCATGTGGTAAGGGGGTGCCTTGGGGAAATGGTTAGCCCCTGAGGACTCAGACCTAATCCCTTGGTGGAGTCATCATGGGATGGTGCTGGGAGATGGTGAAAGCAGGAGGTAGGGACTAGGACCCGGGTCCTTGGAGTTGTACCCTGGGATGATGCACCTTGTCCTGGGCCCCTTCCTCCTTCTCTGTACATCCTAGCCACCACGAGTATTATTCTATTTAGCTTTGCTCTGCCAAACTCTCTCATTGGCCACAGCGATCAAACAAGCTGACTGTTTGTTAGGGTTTCTGTTGCTGCGATGAAACACCATGACCAAAAGCAGGCTGGGGAGGAAAGGGTTTATTGGGCTTATACTTCCACATCTCTGTTCATCACTGAAGGAAGTCAGGACAGGAACTCACACCAGGCAGGGACCAGGAGCTGATGCAGCGGCCATGAAGGGCTGCTGCTCTGTCGTCTTACTCTGCAAATGGGATTAAGCTGAGGACTTGGAGAGAGGGGCTGTTCCTGAGGTATTCCACTGGGTCCACCAGAGTCACAATGACTCTGACAAGAAGAGGGGTGAAAAGTCAGAATGAGGTGCCCGTGAGAAAGCTTCATCCCAGTATTGTGGGATTTGCTGATGATGGGAAGAGGAGGGCATGAGCCACAGGCCCTGGGTGACTTCTAGAAGCTGGAGAAGTCCAAGGCAGCCAGGAATGACGGCGCACATCTGTGCTCCCAGCTCCTGGACTGAGGTCAGCCCTAAGTTAGCAAAGGTCAAAAACAAAAAATAAAAGAGCAAAGGACTGTGTTGTTTTAAAGAAACTTCAGAATAAAATGCAGCTAGTGGACACCTTGATTCCAACCAAAGAGACCTGCAAAGTCACATTGCATGTCTGTGGCAGCTTGATACAACAGCCATGGAAACTAAGGTGTCTGAATATCTTTGGGATTCCAGTGATTTTTTAATTTAAATATGATTACATCATTTTTTCCTTTCCTTTTTCTTCCTCCAGCTCTTCTAATGCACCTCCTTGCAACTTATAGAAGAAGGGTTTTGTGTGCTTACATTTCTAGAGGGATAAGAGTTCATCCCCATCACAGTGGGGAAGCTTGGCAGAGGGAGGGCATCATGGCTGCAGCAGCAAGCTGAGAACTCACATTTCAAACCACAAGCATGAAGCAGAAAGTGAATTGAGAATAGCCTGGCTTTTTTTTTCCCAATTCATTTAACTTTATCTTATGTGCATTGCCATGAAGATGACTGATCCCAGGTTATGGGAGTTCCAGACAATTAGCCGACATGTAGGCGCTGGGAACTGAACCCACGACCTCTGGAAGAGCAGCCAGTGCTCTCAACTGCTGAGCCATCTCTCCAGCATGGCTTTTAAAGCCCAAAGCCCAACCCCAGTGACACACTTCCTCTAGCAAGCCGTCCCTCCTAAACCTCCCCAAACAGCACCGCCAACTGGGGACCAAGTCTTCGAACGTCCAAGCCTGTGGAGGCATCTCGTTCAAACCACAGTGATGCAAGTATCTGAGTCCCTTCTGTTTCTGTAAGCAACCTCTGCAACTAGACTTCAGCAGGAGTCTTACGCTGGCTGTCATTGGTTCTCTGCTTGGGGGGGGGGGTGGCCATTTATCTTTATCTCAGGAAGAGTGTCACATGACACTATAACACGATGAAAGTGGCATTGCCCCAATCAGCTCCAGGCAAGTTCAGAAGACACAGATGAGCCACAGACCCAAATGACGGCTACCTGCACAAGGCCTGGCTCCCTCACGGTGGTCCTGAGTGGCAGCATTGAGGGAGAAGTCCCCAAGGACACAGCTTCTGAAGAGCACCATGCCATCTTCCTACATGAAGAGAAACACAAGAGAAAGCAGGCAAGGCCACGGGCAGTGAAGGAGGAAGATACATCAGACATCACAGAGGCCTTTTTGCCCCTGGCCTTGCTGTCCCATTCTCAGAAGAACTCCAATCTCGGTGGTAGTAGTTGGCTACATCGTACCCCTGAGCACTGGAGTGGGCTTAGACACAGGTGTTCTATATCATTCTACATGAAGGTCTGGTAGACAAGGTTTCTACATCCAAAGGGTCACATGGGAGGTCTGGGGCTGTGGCAGCCATTCTGTAACCACGAGGCAGGCTGAATGGTCACGCACAGAGCTAGTGATGCTATCCCTGAGCCTCTCAGATGAACACACTCTGAGACTTGCGACAGGGATGAGCCAGCAAGGTCCACCACTTTAAGTCCATAGCATCCTCACTGCTACTAGAGCAGTCAGCAGAGGAACCTAAAGAAGGGCTTGGTAATGGAAGAAGGGGGAGCGGGTTTGCTGCCTGCAATGGCGGCTAATGTTCCTGGGTCCTCACCCCTGCCTCCAGTGTAGTTCTGGACACCTCACACCTACTAACTGCTTAAACCCTAAGGACACATCCTTTTTTTTGTTTTTTGTTTTTTTTGTTTTTTGTTTTTGTTTTTTTTAACAGAGTCTCACTGCCTCTGTCTCTCAAAGGCTGGAATCATACCAGGCCTTTGTTTTTTTATTTTGGTTTGTTTAAGACAGATCTCACCAGACTGGCCTTCCTCTCCCAGCAATCCTCTTGCCTCAGCCACTGGAGCCCTGAGATCCTGCTATTACAAACTGCCTCTCCGTTCTCAACACTTGCCCCTTAAGGCCGACTCTTGATAGTTGACAGTATCATGACACTGGACAACCCAAGAGGAGCCTTTGGAATGTCACACAGCCAGGAGAGCTTAGGAAAGGTGAGGCGGTCTATTGCGCTGTCCTGTGAGACACACAACGTATTTTCAAAGATCAAAAGCAAAGTGCCTAAGCAAAGTGCTGGAGGTCCAAAGCTTCGTAATTGACGATGGCCTAAGTTAGGCCAAGTGGTGGTCTCTGGTGGGAAGAATAGTGGACAGGGGTTATATTGTAGGCAGAGCAGAACAGCCGGGCGGAGAGTAGCGGAGGAGCATGTGAGACCGCTCTTAGGCACTGTGGTGTGAGGGGGATATTGATGTTGGAGGGAGTTGGGGCAATGGCATCAGGTCTTTTAAGATAGGAGGTAACAAGAGGATCGGCCTTAGACGGCATTAGAAAAACCTTCTAGACCCTGGAAAGACCGCACAGAATTGGTGGCTCTCCCAGCATTCGGGAGACAAGAAGCGGATGAATCTCTGAGTTGGGGGTCAGCCTCAACTTCCCACCGTGGAGGTTCAGACCTGGGCTCCAAAGTGAGCAAGTGCTGTGAAGTGGGATCACCTGATTGCCAAGGGTGCTGGGCTCATTCAAAGTAGGGGAGGGAGAAATTTGGATTCCAGGAATCTGCTTCACTTTCATGGGTGGCTACAGAACAAGGAAAGCCAGGGCAGAGCGGTGGCAGGGACTCTGGGCTCAGAGGTCTCCAGGATCCTGGCATCTCTCCCAGCAGGCGACTGCGCCACAGGAGATAGAGTGGGCTCCTGACCACCTCCTTTCCCTCCAGCTCTGGACGTGGCCGAGCACAGGGCTCCCTCCTGACAGCGCGGCTCCCTGCACCCAGACAGTGGCTCTCCCTCCTCGGTGGCCGGGGATTAGCTCTCTGAGGACTAGCGACGGGATTAGCACGCGCGAAAGCGGCGCCCGGCCCGGGGATTACCGCACCTCCCACCCCCGACGTATATATTCGGCCGCTCGCGCCGGCGACCCGCGGGCATGGCGACTGCAGGCAGCGCGGCGAGCCGCAGGGACCCTGGACGACCCTGCCCGTTCTCCATCGAGCACATCCTCTCCAGCCTGCCTGAACGCAGGCCCGCGGCGCGGCCGCTGCAGCCCGTCGGTGGCCGGAACCCCGCTGAGCCCGACGAGCCCGAGGCGCCTGCCGCCGCTGCGCCCTGCGCCTGCTGCTGTTGCTGCGGCCCGCGAGCAGCACCCCGCGGAGTCCCGGAGCCCGCGTCCGGACCCGGTGAGTGCGAGCGGCGGGGCGGGGCGGGGCGGGGCGGGGCGGGGCGGGGCGGGGCGGGGCGGGGCGGGGCGGGGCCGGGGCCCCGGGATCTCGCAGGGCGGCCGGCGGGGCGATCTCGGCTCCAACCCTAACCCTCACCCTCTGCCTGACGCGCCCTCGCCCCGCCCCGCAGGCGTGCGGCTAGCGTGGCCGCTGAGGCTGGCACCCGCCGCTCCCTCGCCCCTGACGGCGCCGAGCGCAGGCTCGCCGGCGCTGACCGGCACGAGCGGCCCCGGCCCGCAGCGGCGCACGCGGCGCCACCGCACCATCTTCAGCGAGGAGCAGCTGCAGGCGCTCGAGGCCCTCTTCGTGCAGAACCAGGATCCCGACGTGGGCACGCGGGAGCGCTTGGCTGTCCGCATCCGCCTGCGAGAGGAGCGCGTGGAGGTGGGTGTCCGCCCGCAGCCCGGAGGCCACTCCCGCGTCACTCTTCTCTCTCAAAGACCGACCTTCCAGAGTGTGCCTCACCTCATAGCCCTCCACGCTGGAGGGAAACCCCCCCAGGATCAGTGGATGGGGGGCGCAGGACCAGTTCCCCCAGCAGGTTCTTTGAGTGTCGCCGGAACTGGGGTTAAGAGTCGTTGTCTCGGCCGGGCGGTGGTGGCGCACGCCTTTAATCCCAGCACTCGGGAGGCAGAGCCAGGCGGATCTCTGTGAGTTCGAGGCCAGCCTGGACTACCAAGTGAGTTCCAGGAAAGGCGCAAAGCTACACAGAGAAACCCTGTCTCGAAAATCCAAAAAAAAAAAAAAAAAAAAAAAAAAGAGTCGTTGTCTCTGACTTCGTCTGTCTTCCCCCTTTCCCCTGCTGATGAAAAATGCTTTCCATTCATGTCCCAGATGTAGGCAAGTTAAGAAATGTGCAAAACTAGTCAGGCACTGTGGCACACGTCTGTAATTCTAACACTCGGGGAGGTGGAGACAGGAGGATCATGAATTCATCAAAGTTGTCCTTGACACATAGCGACTCAGAAGCCAGCCTAGATTACATGGGACTATGAAACACATGGAGACAGAGAGAGATATCCTGGTTGCTAGTGGGCCAAGACTGAGGAGACTGGGAAATCTCCGTGCAGGGAGTCTAGGTCCTTTTCTGTGTGTGGATAAGGGAAGTGACGCAGGTCCATTCACCTACACCTCTGTGGTGAAGCCTACCACCCCGCTCACCTACAAGCCCTTCCGAAGTTCTTTGGGTGTGGGTCCATGGACCCTGAGCTGTCTTGGTCCCTCTCCTCCTCAGGTCTGGTTCAAGAACCGCCGGGCCAAGTGGCGACACCAAAAGCGTGCTTCGTCAGCGAGGCTCCTGTCTGGAACCAAGAAACCTCCCAAGGACAGCTGTTGACAGTGTCTGGAGTGTCTCCTGGTTTGGGCAGTGACGTGGAGCACAAGAAAGTAGGAGGGAGACAGACCTACTTGAACAGAAACTAAGAGAGGACCGCAGTCTTCCAGCTGCCCAGTGCTGAGAGAGAGGGAATCCAAGACCTCCTCACCTATGAAGGGAGGGCACATGGGGCAGGAACCAGAGATCTCCTGCAGGTAAAGAGCAGGTCAGCTTCCTCAGGCACCATTACTGCCTAAAGAGGCCCTAACTCCACCCAGGGCCCCAAATCCTCTCCAGTGGAGTCTCCCTCCCCACCTCCTGCCTGCCTCCGGGACTGGCCCCTCATCTAGTCTTCCACCTTCTAAGCCAGGCAGTGGCATCGGCACAGGTCCTCAAAGGTTCAGCACTGGACCTTGGTGTCAGGACCTGTGGAATAAGAAGGTTGGTATTTTCCAGATCCCTGAACCTGCTCCTTCATCTCAGCCTTGTGCTGATACCAAGAAATAAACAAGATCTACAAATTCCACAGAAGAGTCAGAATCCCAAGTCCGAATGTCTCAGGCTTCATTTCCACACCTATAGAGGGGCTAGCTCCCCTCCCCCTTTCCAGGGAACGGGGGGTCAGCACGTCTTAGAGAGCCCAGTTCAACAGGTCTTCATCCCAGTCCTGTGTTTCCCCCATCAGGATTAAAGCCGGTGGATGGTGGCAAGGCCTCCTGGGATTTGCTGTGGCCTCTAAGTACCACCAACTTGCTTCACAGGTGGGAGACCTTTGGCTTCTTGTCCTTGGAGGTTTCTGTACAGTGGCATCTGCCACTAGGGCGGGCAAGAGGAGATTACATTCAGGGAACATCCCACCCCACCATCTTGGGGAATTTTGTCTTCCCTTCTATAGTCATGGTCACACAGAAGTGTGTTGGGGTACACCACAGCATGAAAGCATGGCTTCCATTCCCTGCTGACCTGTGCAGTCAGCTGGAGGCAGCTAACACCCCTGCACCTGGCCTAATCTCCTTACTCTGTCTCCTCACAGGTCCTGGTGTGGTGATAATCTGTGAGAGATGTGGTCCATCCATGAAAGCTAAACTCTAGAACCAATGGCAGGAGGTCTTGGCACTGTGTAAAGATGGCTGGTTTGGAGAACACTGAGCAGGCATGTATCCCCAGCCAGAGCTGTTCTAACACTGCTAGAGACCTCCAGGATTGGCGATTCTCCTCCCCAGTCCCTTGGATGCACATGTAAGGCGCCACCAGACTCTTCTTCCTGAACTTTGGCCTTGCCTTCGAAGACTGCACTGTCTCCTTCAGACGCAGCTGTCCAGGAGGTCAGCTCACCTGCAGGCTTGGGCATTCACATTGTGCTGGGTTCCAGGCCCCTGACCTCCTCCGTTCTCCAGAATCTGAGCTCACCTGAGCTTCTGCCCTCCTCTCACCGTCACTGTCCCCTGAAGAGGCTCCTCGCAGCCCTCACCTGGCACCTGGTATTAGCAAGTGTCCAGAGGCTCCCTTCCAAGGCCTCTCCCATCTCCATTCTCTTCTTGAAAAATAATCAGTGTGTGTGTGCGTGCGTGCGTGCATGCGTGTGTGTGTGTGTGTGTGTGTGTGCGTGCGTGTGTGTGTGTGTGTGTGTGTGTGTGTGTGTGTGTGTGTGTGTGTGTGAGGCTCTGCCTCATTCCCTCCTGGCCCCTGGGCTGCAAGAGGCTCACTAGGTATGTGTCTCTGGAGGCTGTTGGGGGTGCCCTTCCTCTGTCTCAGGTTGGGCCTCGGGCCGTGCCTCTTCCCTAGGCTCCAGCTTGGTGGCAGACTTCTTATCGGCACCAGTGGGTTCAGGGGTCCATGGGGGCTCAGTGGCCCGGGAGCTTTCTCCCTCTTCGTTGATGGCTGCAGAGGACAGACCTCGTGCCTTGGGCTGCACCCAGCAGTGGCTGAGGATCTCATCAATGTTCAGCCGCCGGTTGACATCTGGCTGTAACATCTGGTAGATGAGGTCCTTGCACTCACCAGTCAGGTGTTTGGAGCGTGGAAAGTTGACGCGGTGCTCTTTCTGGATGCGTACCATCTTTTTGATGTCGGAGTCGTCATAGGGCATGGAGCCACAGACCATGATGTACAGGATCACACCCAGGCTCCAGATGTCATACACCTTGGGCTGGTAGGGGATGCCCTGCAGAACCTCGGGGGCCGCATAAGCCGCTGACCCACAGAAGGTCTTGCTGAGGACGATGCGCCCACTCCCGTCCCGCAGGCAGCGCTTGGAGAAGCCGAAGTCAGACAGCTTGATGTTGAAGTCCTTGTCAAGCAGAATGTTCTCGCACTTGAGGTCTCGGTGGACAACATCCAGATCATGGCAGTACTTGATGGCCGAGGCAAGCTGATGGAACTTCTTACGAGCATCATCCTCATGCAGGGCTCCTCGGCACTTGATGAACTCGAGGAGGTCGCCCTGGACGCCCAGCTCCATGACTATGTAGACCTTGCCCTCAGAGGTCTCAAAGATCTCGTAGGTCTTAATGATGGAACGGTGGTTGACAGTCGCCAGGATGTCCATCTCCCTAGGAAGGAATTTCTCCAGGAAGTCCGTGGGGGCTTTCTTTCGATTGATAATCTTGACTGCCACGTTGAATTTGAGGCCGCTCAGAGTAGGCAGATTTGACTTTTCCATAGGAGCCCTTGCCCAGATTGATTCCTACGATGTAACCCTTCTTCCTTAGGACCGCGGCATCGTCCATGGTGCCAGGAGCGGCCGGTGCCGCCGCCCTCTACATCCCCTCCCGACACGGGCCAGCAGGCATTGTCCTCATTCCCACTGTGGGGAGGCGTCTGGTTGGGCTGGCCTGGACTTGGAGGAGTGGAGCGCTCAGCACTGTCACCAAGTGACCAGCGAATGAAGTCATAAAGCCAGGCTGCTGGGAGTGGGGACTAGGCTGTGGGCAATGGGGCCCCTGCAAGCCAGGAAGGCCTAGAAGGAGCACCCCCTCCCCACCCACTGGAATGAAGCTGGCATTCAGGCCTGTGGTAACCCTCCCTGGCCCTCCTTCTTGCTGTGGCTTCATTGTCACCAGCGAGGCCCAAAGGGAGGTGATCCAGGTCCATTCCCAAGCCTGTTTCCTTATCAGGCCTTGGGAACTGGTCCTGTGTGTTCCTCATTTCACGAGAGCCGATTCCCTGCCCTTTCTTTGGGGTTTGAAGAAAACCTCCTGTGAGCTTGTGACCCTGGAATCAGTGGAAGCTGCCCAGGTCCAGTCAGTCCAGTGGTGGTCCCAGTCTGCTGGATGAGAGCAGTTCCATGTGTGGGGTCAGGAGTTGGCAAGGGTCTTTGGGCAGAGTGGGCAGATGAGCCACAGACCTGGTGAATAGGTGTGTGTGTGGATAGGAGGGTAGGTAGTGCTAGGGGATGTACCGAGGGTCCAGGGTAGGCAGGTGTGGAGGATAGATACAAACGTTGGTAAGATAACCAAGCAAGCAACCGCTGAGAATGGCTAAGTCAGGAAAGGAGAGAATGTCATGAGCTTTTCTCTAAATCATGGGCAGGCCTTGTACAACCCAAGTCATTTTTAAGACGGTTGCTGTTAGAGAAGCCAGTTGGCTTTGAGATGCATGTGGAGGCCCAGGGCCTTGGACCAGAGCAGGCCTCTGATGGTCTAGGGTGGGGGAATTGGGAACAGCCAGCCTGGGCCTTTCCTGGGAGGAGGGGACTGTGTTGGGCCTGGTGCTGGATGGCTCAGGGATTGATGGCCCTTAGCATTCTCCATAAGGAGCAAGCTTCTGAGTGGAGGGGTGGGGCTCACTGTACCCCCACCTTGGGTTTGTGAGTGGTGAGCAGGGATTACATGAAGCGCTGCAGCACTGCTCACCATTTGCATGCTGCTCTGTCTTGTATTTTGTGCATTAATGTTTGTTTTGCAAATGGCATCTTGTATAATCTTGGCTACTTTAGAAGTCCTGTGTTCATTTTCACATCTCACAGGAGTCTTACGCTTACAGTGAGCTGCCAAGATGTGACCCAAGGATGCTGTGTTCAGAGGGAAAGCAAGAAGGCCTCTTTCTAGTGGAGGAGGCAGGACAGAAGGCTTCCAAGAGGAAGTGACATAACCCAGGTACAGAGGAGCCCCCAGGGAGACAAGAGGGAAAAGATGATATGGGGAACAAGAATAAACCATAGATGCCACCTTGAAGTCCTGGTCCTAAAGCCCCTGAATGCCCCTACAGATGGCTGAGCCAGACTCTTCTTCCTGAACTTTGGCCTTGCCTTCGAAGACTGCACTGTCTCCTTCAGACGCAGCTGTCCAGGAGGTCAGCTCACCTGCAGGCTTGGGCATTCACATTGTGCTGGGTTCCAGGCCCCTGACCTCCTCCGTTCTCCAGAATCTGAGCTCACCTGAGCTTCTGCCCTCCTCTCACCGTCACTGTCCCCTGAAGAGGCTCCTCGCAGCCCTCACCTGGCACCTGGCATTAGCAAGTGTCCAGAGGCTCCCTTCCAAGGCCTCTCCCATCTCCATTCTCTTCTTTGAAAAATAATCAGTGTGTGTGTGCGTGCGTGCGTGCATGCGTGTGTGTGTGTGTGTGTGTGTGTGTGTGTGCGTGCGTGCGTGTGTGTGTGTGTGTGTGCGCGCGCGCGCGCGTGTGTGCGTGTGCACATGTCTGCCTGCGTGTGTGCATGTGAACCACATGTCTGCCTGCTGCTGGTAGAGATCAGAAGAAGGTATTGGAACCCCTGGAACTGGAGTTGTGTGCCACCATGTGGGTACTGGGAACTGGACCCAGATCATCCGGAAGAGCAGCAAGTGCTTTTAAAGGATGAGCTATCTCTACACCCCCCTCCACTCTCTTTTTGATGTGTCTTTTTCATCCTCGAGCTCCAATCCCCACCTCTGTTGCATATATTTCCGTCTCCAGTCCAGGCCCCCCCTGACAACACTTGGAAACCCACAGCCTCCTCACACTTGCCTTGTGTACAGTGAGCCGTTGGCCTTGTTTAAGACACATGAGTTCTTGATCGCCAGTAGCCCTCTGTCCCTCACCTAATCACACCAGGCCCATCCAGTCTCACCTCCAAACGGGTCGGTAAACCCCACTGAAACTGGCTTCTCTGCACTTAAACTTGGTTAACCTGACAAAAACTGCTGGCTCCTTGCGCCATGACCATTGCAGCTTTCTCTAGTTATATTCACCGGAACCACTCAGCCTCCCTTTAATCCAAAACAAAAATAATATTTCTTGCCAGGACCCCAAAGATACTGTGAGCCTGGCTCTGCCCCCCAACCCGCTGTCACATCCATCCTTTGCACTGCACTGTGTAACCAAAGGCCTGCGCTGGAATTTGCCTTGCTCCATCCTGGGCCTTTGCCTGTCTTTTCTCGTTCCACTTGACTGATGCCTATCCATTCCTCTTTTGGATACGATCTGCCTGGAAAATGCCACTTGATACATGTCCTGTGTAGAAGTCACGATTCTCTGAGTACAGACTTCTTGCAAGTCACAGGCGTGATTTTACACATTTGCAGGATGACTTAATGTGTGTGTTTCTCTATTATTATGGTGAACGCTATGGGGGCAGGGACAGAGCCATAAAGTCCCCAGTGACTCCCAGTGAAGGAAGAGACCATTGGAAAAGCAAAATTGTACCAAATCATTCTGGGTTAGAACTTGTTTGTTTGGGGTAATTCACGATCTCCCTTACGATGGAAGTCCCATGAATGCTTTCAGTGAGTGCAGGCCTCTTTTGGGAAGCCCACCCCGGCAGGTGGAGAACTAATAAATCGAACCAGAGATTTAAGCGCCCTCCGATTCTTTCTTTTCATTTACCTTTTGTTAGATAACTATCTATTGTCTTAGTGTTCTTTCTCTGAGTTTTGAAGTTATATATGACCAAGTTTTTTTTTTTTAAGTATTTAAAAAAGACTTTGAAGCATATGCAGTGGTTTTTTGTTGTTTTTGGTTTTTTGAGGAAAAACTGGAACTTCTAACAGGGGGAATGTGGCGTCAAATAGTCACCCCACAGCGCCCCCTAGTGACCATAGTCTAGACAGGCACGAGCAACGCGGGTGGGGATCAAAGACTACAACTCCCTTAAGATCCGGCGCTCCCAATGACGTCATTGGAGCGCCGGCTTTGTTACAAAATTACTGCTTCTCCATTGGCTGGCTGTTGGTGCGGTGCCTACGGCGCCCGAGCGGTTCTGGGATAGCGATGGGGACGCCCGGGGCCTCAGCGGGATCTCTGTTTGTGCCCTCCGCGTCCGCGCCCCCGAGGAAGCGCGCGGCCGGGGAGACCGGGGTTGCGAGAAGCAAGCAGCGGGTTCTGGATGAAGAAGAGTACATCGAGGTACCAGCTCAGGGCGAGCGCTGGCGACTTCCGGGCCCCTCCCCCGATTCGCGTTCTTCTCCAGTCCTTTGATTTTTTTTCTGGTCTGGGAACTCTCAGCCGCCTGTGGAAGCGGAGCAGCTGCCTTTGGGTTTGGGAAGTCTTGAGAGCCAAGAAAACAGTGCAGAAGCGGGTGTCCAGTTTTCAGCGGAAAGGAGCGGTCCTGCTGTCTGTTGAGGGTCAAAGAAAAAGTTTCCAATTGAAATATGGGTAGAATTTTTACATGTTTTTAGATGATGGCGAAGACATTAAGTGTAAAGTCCTGGAAATAGGCCGCGGTACTGGCCGTGTTATTGAGTGAGGGTCTCTGTTGCTCCTCGAGTTAGGGGTCCCACTGCAAACATGCTGGAGGGCAAGCTGACATAGGTCTGGATTTAGACTAGTTAAATTATGCTGGCATGTATGTACCTTCACCACGCCACTGGGTATAGAGATTTGCAGATCCACAGCAAGGTCTGACTGAAGGTGAAATCTTGGGAATTTCATCCGGTGGTGGCGTTAGTGGTGACTGGCTTTCAAGAGAAAGGTTTGGATTGAAGTAAGAATTCATGGATGGAATGAGGATGGCAATATCCACATTAGTCTGACTGGTGTTGTAGACGGAGCCAGCAAAGGAGAATGAGAAAGACCAGCTGGTGAAGGATTTTATAGACATCAAGAGATTGTTGGGTAATGTTAGATAATACATCAGAGCCATATGGGATGAACAGCATACTAGAAAATGCTCTAAACTGTCTTGCAAACCGCAATCATCCAGATAGGCCGAAGTGAAAGGACCTTAGGGCCTAACGTGGATAACGGTGGACTGTGAGTCGTGGCTCCCAGATGCCAGCTTTGGCCTTTGTTCTGATTGCTTATGATAGGGACTCCAGACAGTCATCCAGAGAGATTTCTTCCCCGATGTGGAGAAACTACAGGCACAGAAGGAATACCTGGAGGCTGAGGAAAATGGAGATTTGGAGCGCATGCGCCAGATTGCCATCAAGTTTGGCTCTGCCCTGGGCAAGATATCTCGGGAACCTCCACCACCCTGTAAGAGGATGCCGTTACACAGGGCAGAGAGGGGAAGTCTATTGTCACTTTAGACTCGATCTAATTTCTAACTTGCTTCCCTCAGATGTTACTCCAGCCACCTTTGAAACTCCTGAGGTTCATCCAGGCTCTGGTGTGGTGGGCAGCAAGCCCCGGCCCCAGGGTCGGGACCTAGAGGATGGTGAGTGAACTCACTCTTTAGGCCTCATGGTCAAGAGTGCTTGGGAGTCATGTTGAGTTTTCTCAGACTCACATTTCATCCTTGAGGGGGTCTCCTGACCTAAGTATCAGCTTTTGGGATCAAAGACACTGGTGTGGGAAGCGGAAGATTATCCAACTCCATTGTGGAGGAACAGTGGTCTGGGCCTCTGGCCTCTCCGAGGGTAGAGAGTCCATTACTGTCACCAGGCTGTTGGGTGTGCCAGCCTTTGCCTTGGAGACTTTGTGGCTTGGGGACTCTTTCATTACTGACTGCTGAAGATGCCGCAGGCTCTCTTCCTTTCTTCCACACCAGTTGCTTGTTGTGTCTCTTCCTTCGGGTCCCGGGTTCAGGTGTGACCTGTTTGGGCTGAGAGGCAGAAACTTGTGTGGACGTTATGTTGATGTTGCGTTGAGGTTCCCAGCCTTTTGTGTAAAGTTGGAACACCCTGGGGCTCTATGCCGCTCAGACTGCCTTTGTTTTTCTGATTTGTTTGTTTGGTTGAGACCAGAGTCTCATTGTTTCCCACATTGTTGGCTTTGTGTTTCACTGCAGGATATAACATTTTGGAAAGCATTTCTGTTTATTGCCTCTCACCCTAATCACTAATTCGAATGCCTCCCAGAGAGCAGGGTCTTGGTCTTGCTTCCATCTGTGTGCTCCACATTTAGCATTAGCATATACCACATTAGCATATGGTATGCTGCACTATCAACAGATATGTAGAGCAGATGAATGTGTTGTCTTCAACATGTTTCCTGAACATCGGATATAACTATGGGATGTATCTTAAAGTGAGGAGGACCACTTTATGAATCTATTTATTGAATATGTGAGTGTACCGTATACTAAGGGACTTGTATGGGTCAGTTGATCTTTTTATCAGTAATTGGATATATCCCTAGAGGTGGGCAGGATGTTTTCTCTACCAAGCTCTAGTCTACTGCATACTGTACCCGGGCATATGTACAACATGCTCACACAAGCGTAGTTTCTCAACAGCCCAGCTTTTTCTGCCGTGAACACAGTAAGAGTTACTCTTGGAGCTTGAACTCTTGAATGAAATACGATAGAGTCACAGCAATTTGAAGATGCTCTTCTTTTTATACACATATATTTTATCAGTAAATATTGGAGTCCTTGTAATTGCAAATAAGGAAACAGGCTTCCAAAGGCTGTAACTTCTGTAGGTGTCAGAAATAGTCAACAGTTGAAGGGACCCAGGTCTGCCCCCTTTCTAGCCCAGGTCTTGAATTTCTAGCCACTGTGTTTGGCACTGGCTGGCACACAGTCAAGACTGTCAGTAGAATGGATGAGAAGTCTCAGCTTCACATGCCCCTGAGATCTCCAGTGCTGCCTCTGCAGGAGTATCACTCGCCTTGGTGGCAGGGATCGAGATGCTGTGGTTGGCTTCTGTGGCCCAGAGTCCGTGTGGCCCTCCCTGGAGCGCTGGGCCATATGGGCTCCTGCCTTAGGAGTTAACTGGCATACCCTGATGCATAGTGACTGTCACTCACCTGCAGCACCAGTCAGGAAGGGTAAGGCAATCCCAGGGAGGGAAGAAGAGCCCCTGGGACTTCGAAGGTCAATCCTACAAACAGTACAGTTGGGAGAGGAAGAGCCTACTCAACCGTCACCGTGAGCTCCTGCTTGTCCCTGCCCCTTCACCCGTCAGCCAGATCACGAGAAGAGCTGGCCA